TGTAACACGGAAGAAATGGAGGTAAATACTGTCAAAGATAAGAGAGTTATTCAAGACACACACTCATACTCCTGTAAAGCGTATAAGGATGGTAATGGGGTGTGTGATTCTAGTCCCAACACACCGGACAAAAAACTCTCAAAGAAAGCACGCAAAGAACAGATACAAGTAAATTCTGATCCTTCTCTGACTGAAATACAGGACAATATAATCCGTGTTATTTCTGCCAAAATCAACGAAAGAGCAGATATTACTGATGAAGCTGTGAAACACAATACGATGCAAATCGAGGGTCTTAAAAAATCGCTGGAATTCTGTCATCAAGAAGTAGTCGATCTGAAAAAAGAAAACGCTACAATGAAGATACGAGTGGAAGAAATGCAAAAGAAAGTCAGTGAAATGGAGCAAAAAGTAAACGATACGGATCGATATAGCCGCCGGTACAATCTTCGGATCTATGGAATGAAGGAAGAGCGGGAGGAAAACGTCAAAGCAAAAGTGGAAACAATTTGCCGTGCAGTAATTCCAGGCAGCGATGGAGAAGAAGTCAGAGTAGCAGTAGACGTGGCTCATCGTATTGGAAGAATAGACAGCGGAGGAAAAAACAAGTTTCCAAGACCTGTGATCGTCAGATTTATGTCTAGATCAGCTAGAGACACTTTCTGGAAGGGCGCCAAGAACAACGAGTTTCTCAAAAGCACGAATCTTCAGGTGAAAGAAGACCTAACAGCTGATGACAGGGCAACGCGTGCTCGTCTGTGGCCGTTTGTTGAACAGGCAAGGAAAAATGGGGAGAAGGCTTATTTAGTAGGTAACAAAGCATTTGTGAATGGAAAAGAAATCAAAGGCTGATCATTTAGTGACTTCAAATGTCATCAAAAGTATAGTCAGAGACTTGAGATATTGGCTGTTCATTTACTTTACATGACTTCTTGAATTACTACTGAAATTAAGAGAAGATGGGTTAATGCACTTATTGTTGATGATAAATGCAACATGTAGCTTCAGTGGGTGACACTTTATGTTCTTGTTAAGAGCACTCAGCATACGTTAATTTGTTAATTGCAATCGGTTATTGTTCATGTCAATTTCAATTTTTTCGATTAATGCCAGAGGTATAAGAAACCTGTTGAAGAGGAAATCTTTATTTTTGTTTTGTCAGAGTAAAGGTGCAGATTTTTATTTTATTCAGGAGTCCCATGCTTGTGAAGCAGATGTAAACTTTTGGAGGAGTCAGTGGGGGAATGATGTTTGGTTTTCATTTGGTACTAACCATTCAGCTGGGGTACTCGTATTAAAAGGTCAATTTAAAGGTCAAGTTCTCGGTAAGCAAATAGATACGGAAGGAAGATGGTTAATTTTACATGTTAGTATAGATCTTTCCCAATTTATTATAGTAAATGTTTATGCCACAAATAATAAGCAAAATAATAATCACTTGTTTACAACAATTGAGAGTAAAATTAATCAAATAAGTTCTAAATATCCTTATGCAACAATTATTTGGGGTGGGGATTTTAATACTGTTATGGATGAAGAAGTTGATCGTTGGCCCCCCCAAAAAAATAAAAAAACCTCTGTATTAAAAAGTGTATGTGCGAGAATGGATTTGTTAGATATCTGGAGATATACTTACCCAGATCAAAGAATGTATACTTGGACTAATAATGACCTGACAAAACAGTCACGTATTGATTTCTGGTTAATCTCTGCAATAAATAAAGATGATGTTGAATTAGTGAAAATTGATACTTCAGTATTAACAGATCATAAGGCTATAATGATTAAGATGAACAAAGATGGAAAAAGAACGACCATTTCTAAAACAAACTATTGGAAATTAAATAAAACCTTGTTAGAAAATGAATGCTTTAAAAAGCAGTCCATTGATATTATACAAAAATATTGGAAAAAAGCAAGTATTGTTAAAAAATTTGGTCACAATTGGGAATTAATGAAATTTGAAATAAGAAATATAGCCATAAATATAGGGAAAAATATTGCTAAAGTTAAAAAAGCAAAAGAAAACAATTTAATAGAAGAAATTTTGAAATTAACAAGTAAAAAAAATCTAACAAATGAAGAAATCAAACAACTAACTTCTTTACAGCTACAGTTAGATACAATTTATTTAGACAAAGCCAAAGGTGCCTTTGTAAGAAGTAGACAAAAGTGGATTGAACAAGGAGAAAAAAATACTAAATATTTTTTTAATTTAGAAAAACGTAATAACGAAATGTCTTCTGTAAGTAAACTCATGATTAATAACAGTATATGTGAAAGTAATAAAGAAATTGCTGAGTATGTCACACAATTTTATAAGAATCTATATACTTCAGAACCTTACGATGAAAAAGAAGCTGAACTGTTATTAAGTAAAATATCTGATACAACCAAAATTATACAAGAAGACTTTAAATTACTTTGTGACCAAGAAATTAATTTACAAGAGATAAATAAATGTATTTCGGGATTGAAGGATAATAAATCTCCAGGAAACGATGGATTGACAAGTGAATTTTACAAAATGTTTATAACACAGTTATCTCCTTTTTTAGTTGCAATGTTTAAAGAATCCATTACTTGTGGGGAACTACCAGCAACTCTTAAACAAGGTATTATAACAATAATCCCTAAACCCAATAAGGATAAACTTTATATTGATAACTGGAGACCGATTACTCTTCTGAATAACGATGCAAAACTTTTTGCTCTTGTTTTTGCAAGAAGATTAAAAAAGGGTCTGGAGGAGATTATTGAAGAAGAGCAATCTGGTTTTATGACCGGAAGACATATAAGTAATAATATTAGGTTAATTTTAGATATGATTGATTATAATTATTATATACCAAATGACTCTTTTATTTTATTTATAGACTTTTATAAAGCATTTGATACTGTAAGTCATGAGTTTCTGTTTAGATGCATTAAACATTTTGGTTTTGGTGAATACTTTGAAAAAGCTGTTAGAACTATTTACAATGGATGCAATAGCTCAGTTAAATTATCTGCAGGTACAAGTGGTAGATTTGAGATTAATCGAGGTATACAACAGGGTAGCCCTTTATCTCCATTTTTGTTTTTATTAGTCACACAAATTATGGCCCTATATATTAAAAAAGCAGATTTTGAAGGTATACATGTATTTGGAAAGGAATTTAAATTATCCCAACTAGCAGATGATACTACTATTTTTCTTAAAAATAATTTAGAAATATTAAAAGCAGTTAACTGTGTAAAAGAATTTTCCTTAGTTTCAGGTCTTAAAATGAATATTAATAAATCTGTGTTATTTCCAATTAAATCATGCAATTTGACAGAATTACATAGTATCCCTATTAAAGATACAGTTAAATATTTAGGGGTTGTCATTCATAAAGAAGAAAATGAACGCAATAAGCTTAATTTTCAACCCATAATAAATAAAACTAAGACTAGATTTAATATATGGCTTCAAAGAGATTTATCCCTGAATGGTAGGGCTTTACTGTCCAAAGCAGAAGGTATATCAAGATCTGTCTATGTGTCTTTAGCTCTAGAGATGCCATCAAATGTATATAAAGAATTAGACAAAGTACTATTTAATTTTTTATGGAGAAATAGACATCACTATTTAAGAAAGGAAATTATGTGTAAACAAAAATGCAATGGTGGGTTATCTGTATTAAGTTTTGAAACTTTAAACAATACATTCAAAATTAATTGGTTAATTAAATTCATGAAAGAAAAGGACAGTATGTGGTATACTTTTCCAAAACATATATTTGACATGATTGGGGGTATAGAATTTCTGTTGAGTTGTGATTTTAAAATTGACAAACTTCCAGTGAAATTAGCTAAATTTCACAAACAAGCTTTATTAGCGTGGATGCTGGTATTTAAACACAATTTTTCTCCAAACAAATATATTATATGGAATAATAGATGTATCCAATATAAAAATAAATCTCTCTTCTTCCAAAAATGGTATGAAAATGATATTGTATTAGTTAGACAACTTCTTAATTTAAACGGTAATTTGTTATCTTACAGTGAATTTTTAGAAAAATTTGGTTTTCCAGTTACTCCAAAAGAGTATGCTATTGTATTTGATGCCATATCTCAACAGCTTCTTCATTTTATAAGAGCGTATGGAAATAGATCTTTTGAAGGAAAATATGTTAAAGAAAACCTTTTTTTAGGAGATATTGATATTATTAAACAAAGTTATACTAATAAATATATTAGAAATCTTATAACAGGTGATACAGTTGTTTATAATAATTTAAAATGGACCAATGTATTCATAAATATAAATTGGAAAAAAGCTTGGCGTTCTTGTGAAATATATTGTATAAATAACAAAGTAAAAGAAGTTACATTTAAAATTTTACATAGTATATATCCAGTTAAAGAGGTTTTGGAGAGATTTAATTTGGATATCGATTATTTCTGTGATTTTTGTTGTATGGAAAAGGAATCTATTGTCCACATGTTTTGTGATTGTATATATACAAGGATTTTCTGGGTGGATGTGGAAAATTTTCTAAGAAGGAAAACAAATATTGTGTTTAAGTTAAAAAAAATTTGATATTTGCATTTATTATTTTAATACATGTAAAAAAATTACCTTTCTGGTACAACTTTTTATTATTTTGGGAAAGTTTCATATACAAAAAAAAAATGGACTGGATCAAAGCCAAATTTTGTTCACTTTCTTCAAGAGACTAAGGACTACTGCACAAGTTTGAAAAACATTGTTAATAACAAAGCAAAGAAGACTTGTAATATTTTTAAGGAATATAAGATTTTTATTTACTGAATGTTTTTTATTTATTTTTTTATTTTATATATATCAATATACACTCTGGCATGTATTTTGTTCTGTATAGTATTGTATAGTTATGTACTTGTTAATAAAAAAAAAAAAAAAAAAAAAAAAAAAAAAAAAAAAAAAATTCTTAAATAAAAAAAAAAAAAAAAAAAAAAAAAAAAAAAAAAAAAAACAGTCTATGGTCGACGCGCATGTGACGTCACACTGTCGTGAGTTTGTTTTGATGGGGAAGTGAAACTATCTTCCCTAAGAAACTATATTCAACGAGGAACTGACTCTAGATAAAGGCTCCAGCGTCCAGCAGAAGATGACATGAGCTGCTTTCAGCCGGTTTAACCGAGTAGAGGAGCGATGGACGGCGGAGAGATGCGCTTCCGCGTAAGTGTGGTTCGGGACGACTGTCTGGACCGGTTTCTGAGAGTCGGTTCCGGTGGATTCGGTCAGATATTTCGCGCCAGACACACGCTATGGGGGACCGACGTGGCCGTCAAGCTACTGCATTATAAAGAAGGGTAAATATACTCTATATTATTATTAAGAGACTGTCAACTAATGAGGTTTTTACTTAGTTAAAAATTGTATATTTTAGTCTATTGTGTTTTAAATTATACATATTGTGCCTTAAAATCAGACACAGTCTATTTTTATTAATTTTAAGTTTTATTAGGCTATTATTGTTGTTGTTGTTGTTATTAATACTATTATTTTTAATGTATTCTATCTAAGTAATGGAGCTGATGGGGAACTATATGGGAAGTTATGCTGTTACATCACGTGAACACTGAATCCACACTAAACAGCTTGACATAATTGACCATAATTAAAGGGACAGTTCACCCATAACATAATAATCATCATTTATTTTTAAGTTTGAGTTTCTTCTGTTGAACACAGAAAGATATGCTGAAGAATCAGCCATATACTTCCATTGCATTTTTTGTTTTTTACTATGGATGTCAAAAGCTACGTTTCCATCCACCTTTGTTTATTGGCATTCTGTATATGCACATTCAAAAATTTAGTTGATGGAAACACCAAGATGCCAATACATTTTAAAGATGCAGCTAAAAAATGAATGCGAATAACTGAGCAGGATAATCCTTTCATTCGATAAGAAAAGATGCACATAAACTATGATGGAAAGATTTCACTGGACAAATTCCAGCATGTATATTAAACAAGGTCATGTGATTTTGTTATAAGAGATCATGTGGTGATGAACATGTGTGTGTATGGATAAAGCAGCAGGCTGAGCACACTGGAAAACATCTGAACTGTTGTTTTCTCAATCTAAAACACCTGAACCATCTCAGTATTGATTAATATATTATTAATGACCTCCAGAATTATCAGGAGCATCTGTGCTCCCCGTCTTACGCTTTCAAACGCCACACGTGTTCATTTTGTGTTAGCATCGTTTTCTGAGGCGCAAGTCATTTATTAAATAAAGAAAGGATTGAGGCAGCTTCTCTTATCGCAGTAAATTCTGTTTTTACTGTTGATATTTGACACCAGATAATCAGGAAGTGAGGATATGGTTAGCTTTGACCCGTTGGATGGAAACGCTGCTTTATTCACATGTCTTCTATGCAATAATGCAGTTTTGCACAACATAGCTGGGAAACAGGGCTAATGGCTGCTTTTTCCAGCATCTTTCAGAATATCTTACATTTTGTGTTCAACAGAACACAGAAACTCATACAAGTTTAACTTTTCCCTTGAGTGAGAAAGTGATGAGGAATGGGTTACTGTCCCTTTAAGGTAAATTTCTACTGAATGGTTAATATTAATAATAAAATAATACAAAACACAGAGTTAGAGTAAATCAAATAAAGGATTTTGACTGTTTTTTTTTTTTTACTGTTTTTCATGTTTTACTTTCTTGAATATCATTACTTTAATTGCATTGTATAGCATATAATAATCATAAATTTGGCTATGCGTGTGTAATACATAGGTTTTTTTTTGCTTTAAATATTGTTGAGAATCTGGCTCAATGCAAGCCATTGAAATGAACGGGTTTCATAGTGTAGGGCGTTCTGCGTCTGGTGTGAAAGCTCCAGGGGCCTCATGTATGAAGACTTGCTTTGAATTTATACTTAAACATTATGTACAAAGCTGTAAATGTGCGTACACAGTAAAAAAATCAGATGTATGAAACACTGCGTACGCAGAATCACACGCATATTCTCTTTGTACATCTGAATTAACATGCACGAGCGCAAAACCCCTCTTTGCCTCCTCCCCGTATGAATATGGTAATGACTATTGTTTTTTTTTTCGATACTGGTGATAAATCGATACTTTTAAAAGGGTACCGGTGCCAAAATGGTGCTTGAACCGATACTTTTTAGCCACAAAATTATTTGACAAAAAATTTATAAATTATATATATATATATATATATATATATATATATATATTAGGGGTGTCACGATTTAGATTTTTAATCAAAATCGATCGAAATTTGGGACTTCCGGTTTGGCAATGTGAGAAGACGACGCCTATCAACAGAGCTCCCGATCATTTCTGATAATATAACTTTAAATAGTGGCATTTAAATAATCTAAAACGTTTTTTTTAAGTGTTAAAACAGTGCTTAACACGAACGTGTCGAGACTACATGATGAGCAAGAATAAATCAGCCGCAAATGCCCCGCCAACGACGAGAACCAGCGTGGCTAGCAAATTAGCCACGATGGCTACCGCGGCCAAATCCGAAGAAACCCAAGAAGACGATAACGGCGTAACAATGAGCCAACTCGTAGCAGAACTAACAAAGCAACGAACCTCGATAAAAGAAGACATCTCAGCTCTGATTCAAGAATCAATAGTGTCTCTTCAGACATCGGTCAATGCCTTGACGGAAACGATGGCGAGTTTCCAGTCTCGCTTATGCGCCACAGAGACACTCGCGAGCGAAAACTTTTCAGCGCTGGCTGCGGCCGAAAAAACTATTAAAGCCCTGAAAGAGCAAAACACGACACTATTGGATCGAGTGGACGACTTGGAAAACCGGTCGCGGAGAGCAAATCTCAGGATTTTAAATATCCCGGAGAACAGCGAGAAAGGTCAGCCGACTGTTAAATTTGTGTCCGAGATGCTAATGGAAATCATGGGTGAAGAAGTCTTCGAAAAACCTCCAGAATTGGAACGAGCACACCGTTCGCTCGGTCCAAAACCACAGGATGGCCGACCTCCTCGACCACTTGTCGTGTGTTTTCACAGATTTCAAGAGAAAGAAAAAGCATTAAGATGGGCCAGGCAGAATGAGGTAAAATACAAGGGCTCGACTTCGAGGATTTATCCTGACATCTCCGCCGATCTCGCCAGAAAGCGTGCCATGTTCAAAGATGTCAAACAACTGCTGTATCAAAAAAAGGTACGATTCCAGTTACTGCATCCTGCACGGCTACGAGTTCATTATGAAGAACAAACTTTCCTTTTCGATACGCCAGAGAAAGCGCAGCAATTTTTCGACCAGCGGATTGCTACACATGATAACTCTTGACTTCACAAACACTGTGAACTGATGAAGGATCACGTTGACTTTCAGACACTGAACTTGTAAGATACATAATATATTTAACTGGGCTGCTATGCAGATTGTTTAATATAAATAGATATCCGCGTTGAACAATTCCGCAGTAAGTTGAGATATGTTTTATCTAACTTTATTATTAAGGGAAACGTGTCTTATTATTATTTAAGATCTGCAGATACTTTATTTTTATTTATTTTTATTATGCAGCACTGTATTTATTAACGGTACTTAAACACATTTATTTGTAAGTTTGATTGGTCACTTTATGCCTAACTTATATTACTTTGGGAGCTTTGAGGAGAATAGAAGCACATAGACTTGGAATATCGGGAGCAGAGAGAAGTTTGTGAACTGCGGTTTGTCATTGTTCAAAGGGCAAATCTAGATTGTATTATAGTTTTTGTTGTTTACCAAGGTTCAACCACGTTATGTCGTTATTTTTATTATAATTTTTTTTTTCTTCTTTTTTTTTTTTTTTTTTTTTTTCTCTCCCCCCAACTCCCCAACCCACACCCAATATACAAAGTTTGGGTACATAGCTGTTGAATAAAAATGGCAAACACAGGCGATAAAGAAAACACAAAAAGTTCAGCAGTACGCTTTGTTAGCTGGAATGTTAGAGGGTTAAACGGACCAGTGAAAAGAACTCGCATATTTACACATATTAAAAAATTAAAAACAGAAATAGCCTTTCTACAGGAAACTCACTTGCGTATTGAAGACCATAATCGACTTAGGAAAAATTGGGTTGGTCAGATTTATCACTCCAGCTTTAATCACAGAACAAGGGGAGTTGCAATCATAATCCACAAAAAAATACAATTCATTGCATCTGAAACTATTTCAGACCCTCAAGGACGATATATTATTGTATCCGGGCACCTTTTTGAGGTACCAGTTGTCTTGGTCAGTGTCTACGCACCCAACTGGGATGACGTTAACTTTGTGAAAAAACTTTTTTCCTTGTTACCAGATTTAAACTCTTTCCATCTCATACTTGGTGGAGATCTGAATTGTGTAATGGATACAACTATGGACCGTTCCAACCCTAAAATTGTACCTCTTTTAAAAATGTCTCAAATATTTGCCGGATATATGAATCAGATTGGCTGCATAGATCCATGGAGGTTTTTATTTCCAGATAAAAAGGTATTCTCATGTTTTTCACATGTTCACCAGACGTATTCGCGGATAGATTATTTTTTTGCTGATAAAAGACTTATCCCGGCAATAAAAAACATAGAATACTCAACTATTATTGAATCCGATCATGCCCCTGTAATTTTTGATATTTGTTTTTCATATAACTATACAACAAGACCAGTATGGAAGCTAAACACAACCTTACTCTCAGACTCAAACTTTTGCAAATTCATATCTCGTGCAATTGACAATTTTTTAATAAATAATAAATCAGACTCGATATCACCATCACTATTATGGGAAACGTTTAAGGCGGTAATAAGGGGAGAAATAATATCATACTCAACCTCGCGTAATAAGGAGAGGAAACAAACTGAGGAGAAACTTATTGAATCAATACAGAAAATCGACCGCCAGTATGCTGATACCCCAACACCCGAACTGTATAGAGAAAAACTTAGTTTAAAGACAAAATATGAATTATTATCAACTGAAAAAACAGAACGTAACTTATTTTTTGCACGTGCTAGATTTTATGAACACGGCGATAAAGCAGGCCGTCTTCTCGCCCAACAATTAAAAAGTAAATCGGCATCTCGGCTCATCCCAAAGATTAAGAATACAAAACAAGACATTACAGTAGACCCACAAGAAATAAATAATATTTTTTATAAATATTACTCTAACCTGTACACCTCAGAATTCCCACAAGAAGACAGTCCCATGTCAACATTTTTATCTAATATTAATCTACCCACTGTTAAAATGGATCAAAGAAAGAACATGGATGAACCTTTACAACTTCAAGAAGTGGAAAATTCAATT